CTGATTTATCTCCTTATCCGCAAAATGACGAATGACCTTGCACAGCTACACATAAAAAAGTGTATATTTACTTTCGATTACCGGCTGTGAACTGTCATCGAGGCGCGCAAGATCCTTTCCCATCAACAGAACTTACGAACTGCTGATCAGGAAATATGGGTGATTCATGTGTTCATTACTAAATAAATGCATTGCAGCTTGGGTGTGCTTAGCACTAGTCTGTCATGGAGGATAACTTCAGTTCCCTAACGTCAGATGTGAGCAGAAGTACCGAACCGAACCCTTAATAACTTCATTGGACTCAGTCTAGCTATCCCAGATGATTGAATGCAGACGCATTTTTGAGAAACCTTGGCGTGCACCAACAGTTAAGTGTTTTGAGATCGAGGGATATTAAAACCCGCTTGGGAATTTACGTACCACTGTCGGACAAAGTTTTGGGAATGAGGACCAGTACAGTTACTGCAAAATCGAGCTCTCGAATTAGTTCTTTTTGCGCTGAAAAAAGAACGGAAAACAGAAAAACCCTTGTTGTCCTTGAATTACTCTCTCTCTTTCCACTTCTTGGGGGCGAGACAATTAGTTGTTTTCGTTGCTGGATAACCTGTTCTCTTTTTTCGTTTCCAAGAAAAACGAACTTACCGGGGTACAATCTCATTCCTACCTGTCGACGAGCACGGAGAAGATATGCAAAAATTCTACAAGCATTTCGATCGACAAGTAGTGCAAAAGCGATCTTGCCTTTGCTGTGCCTCTGGTACTACTGTAAACAAGCACACCATCCACGGCGGCTCCGCCCACATACCCGACGATCAAAAGAAGGTAAATTCTCCACTATTTGGTTGCTTTGCTGCCAAAAGGATAAAAGTCCCTGTCCCTAAATCCCCTCTAATCTCCCTTTCACGTAATGTATTTGAGGCGTTTTAAATTGAAAATTTTGGCAAAGATTACTTACCATCAGCTTTAGTATTTGGACGGGGAGTTCTTGTCCCGTGTCTTGGTTAGGAGGCCATAGAAATAATAATTACCAATATTTCTAATTGACGCGGTAAACTTGCTAACTCAGCACAGGAGGAGAAAAGCGTTGCCAGATTGTAGGATAATAAGTTCACGTGTCACACAGGTCCATCGTGTGTATCACAGCAAGCTGGCACAGGGTCGGTGACTTGCGCTTGAATTAAATAATAGTGAGGGAGGACTTGCGCTAAATCTGCTGCACTCCCTCCCTCCCCAGTCTGCCCTACTGTAATGACCAAG